GTAGGCCTCTCCCATTTTACAATGTAACTAGTTTTATTTTCCATATTTGAGACCCATTTTTAGATTATTACATTATGTCGTTTCATGGATACTGCTTGACTCATCTTTGATCATTTTCATCTGACCCTTCTACAGCTGACAGTGGTGGTACTCTTGTCCTCGTTGGTCAGGATGGTGTTCAGTATCCTCCCATCCATTTCCCAAAAGGTGGTCACCTCCTGGCTTTCTTGACCTGTCTAGAGAATGGGCTCCTCCCCAGAGGTCAGTTAGACCCACCCCTCTGGTCTCAGAGAGGTAAAGGGAAGGTCTTACCCAAGCTGCGTCGTAAGACGTCAGGGTTGAGCACAAACCAGAAAGAAGGGACGCAGATATTTGAGGGGGAGGAAGCCACAGATTATGTCTTTAGAATCATCAAGGCATTCAAGCCAGAGTATGGTAAGTCAGTCATTTCTCATGTAGAATTCGGACTGCACTTTGTGGCAAATAGAACACAACAGCTTTGCTCAATAGTAGTTGGTGTTTACATTTAGGCAAAGTGTAAAAAGCTTGAACATAACTGGACTGACTTCTTATATCCCCCAAATGATTTGTAGAGTCAGTTTCAGTCAGTATAATACTTCTGAAAAACTTTAACTCTACCAATTTTAAGGCAGCATCATTATTCAATTGATAATAAAATCTGAATGGAACAGGTGCTTTTATCGCCTGTGTTATTTTGGATTTAGGAGAAAACTCATCAATCAGCAGTCTGTTGAAACTAGTTTTCCTTTTTGCCCATAGTTCCAGAGGACATCATTGACCCGAAGCGAGGTAAATCTGGAGGATTCCCTTGGCTGTTACGAGACACAGGACCTAAGCATACACTCATCAGGCAACAGGAGGTTCTAGCTAGCCCCACCAGTTCTACCACCACATCACGTATCTATTCCCCCTCTTCACCAAACTCTGAAATACCAATGATGACCACAGCTACATCCAGGCAAGCAAAGTCAAAACCATCTCCTGCAATTATTGCTTCATTTCTCATCAGGTTGATCAAATTGTAAATTGTTTGCTGTCATCTGCTGTGATTTTATAGTCAGGTATAGTCAGTGCTGTCTCTCTTGTTGGGTGCGTGCATAGCAAGTAACACTGATTTTTCTTTCATTCTTAGATCATCCATCAAGCTTCTTTGTGATACCATGAAGAAACAGATCATATCAAGAGCCTTCTATGGATGTAAGTATATTTCCTGAATTTTACCTTGAAAGTTTTGATAGTTTAGCATTAATGAAAAATCACGCACTGCTACGGCTGCTTGCTTCTTTTCACATCTTTTTGGCCATTTTTTTCAAGGGGATTATGAGAAACAACTGGTACAAGCTTACAGTAGGTACATTGTCACATCCTACATTCTTCCTCTTTCCAACACAGGGCTAGCTCACTGTCGGCACCTGCGCACTGTTCGCACACACCTGTCAGGCTTGGTGGATGCTAACATCATCGCTGTTGATGCATCAGAGGGACTTGATGCTCACAAGTGGGCTAGGTTTATGGAGGCGGGCAAGGTATAAGTAACTTGGACAATGCGCTTCTTGAATTCCGTGTTAATTTCTTTTGTTATATTGTGGCAGAGCTGTTTTGTGCTTTCTGTAAACATACGCACTTACATCAATTTGGGGAATAGTATGACACTGTAATTGATGCGTTGTTGTTTCAGGAAGTGAATGAGGAAGACGTGATGCGGCTGGTGTATTTTGGTGGAGTGGCTCATGAGATCAGAAAAGAGGTACAAAGAAAAAGATCTTACCTGTCACATTAACAACTTACTGGCAGCTCATATAATTGTCTTGAAGCTGGCCTTGTGACAGAGTATTCTACTCCTTTCATTTGAATACTTTCTAAACTTGTTGAGATTCTGTAGAATTGTTCAGATTGATTGCCATGTGCTATTAAGGTCTATATTTACAAGTTATGTCCACATAGTTCTAGAGCATCTTAAAAGCTCTCTGAAATTGTTTCTTCATTACTCATTTGTTTCCTTGACATTGGTATTCTTTGTAGGTGTGGCCATACATGCTAGGTCATTATAAATTTGGCTGTACTGAGGATGAAAGGCGATCAGTGGATTCTAACACACGCATGACATATGAGCAGATTGTGGCTGAGTGGATGGCGGTTGAGGCCATTATCAAACAGCGTGACCGTGACACTCAGGCAGCCAAGCTATCATCAGAGAATAGCTCTGAAGGTCAAATACCGCTGCAGGGACATGATCCTAGCCTGGATAGTGAGGTGTTTGAGCTGGAAGATGAAGAAGATAATGATGAGTATATTGAGGCAGGGGAAGTACGGTCAACAGGAACTGGGGAAGAAATGACTCAAGAACAACGGGAGATCATTCGTAAGGTATGACTAAACAGTCCTCAATCCTCCATTTACGTACACCCTAAGGGGTTAGGGCTAAGAATATCTTATTAGTGATGGCTTCACACTTCATCAATTTTGCTAGCATTGGTTTATTAGTCTTGTCCTGATAGAGCATTGTTGACAATGTGCTGTTTAGTAGAGAAGTATAGTCTATATGAATGGGACATTGCTGTCTAGGCTACTAGAGTATTTGTCATAGTCATTCAACTATTCTTGGAGGGACTAAAGAGTTGACCTTTATACTCCAATCTTCTTTGATTTGTGACTAACAGGAGGAATATGTGGTGATTGAATGTCGGAACCCACAAGAGAAAGAACGACATCATCTGAAGCACAAACACAGCGATGCATCGGTAGATGAGGGTATGGGAGCTAGTATTGCCAGCTCATCCAGTGTCAAGTCTAGAGACAGTCTCAAGCACACTGGCACTACCTGCAGTGAGTCTGATGTGGGACATGATGTAGAAGAAGGAGAAGTCCGCGTGGAGCTGTGTAATGGGGAGGATTCCCCGCCCACAGAGGAGGTGAAAGAGGAGGAAGAAGATCTGACACAGAAAGGGAAATGTCTTGGAATAACAGACACATTGACAGCTGAAAGTATGGCTGTATCTCCTGCATCATCCAA